GGGCGCGCACCGATGCACTGCTTTGGCGAGCCATGCTGTGGCAGCGACCCATATAAAGTGGAGGAGGATGGGCACGGATGTTAGCCCAGGGCCGTCTTCCTCGGCAAAAAAAGAGGAGGATTGGCGGATGTTAGCACAGGGCTGATCTCCTCACCAAAAAAAAAAAAAAAAAATGGAAAAGAAACAGCTATAGTTATGTGAAAGATCTTTATTTTCTTTTGAACAATATTAAAACAAATAAATTATCATTATCATGCAGTTTAGTAACACAATAAGGACATGTTAGAGTTAATCTTTTGAAAGGCACTTTTGGTGCAATTACAGTAAAGTAATATAGACAATTCATTAGTTATTTATCTTGCCACCTTATAAAATTGCCTGCTCATTGCATATGGTTCTTTTGATGTTCTTCAGTCAATTGTTGCATTTTATAAAAATCTCAAAGTCCCATCATGAAATGTACTTCTATTGATTAACTTATTTTAATTCTGTTTACTGTTAGTAACATCACCAATGAATCACATTTATTTATTTATTTAAACGTTTAATAAATTTTTATTTTTCTTCCAAATTTTATGTTTGTTTTGGGGCCCTGAGCACAGGTTAAATCAACTTTGCCACTTTTTAGACCTATTTTTGAGTCTTTCAACCAATCCTTTTCTAAGTACTGACGATAATGCTCTCATCAGATACTGACTTTACTACACAACTGTAGTAGTTCATCAATGAACTGTATGTATTTTTATATATTTCGTGGATGAATGCTACTTCCCTCATGCAGCCCAATGAATATGTTTCCTCCAAACCCTCCAACCTTAGGCCCTTCCTTCCCTGGAGTGCCGCCTTGTGGTGGGCAGTGGGCCCTTCACTGACAAACTCCCGCACAGCTTAGTCATGGAGGAAAGTGAATCAACCACAGTGTTGCTCATTGCAAACCCTGTTCAGAGTAAGAAACCCCATAATATACCTAAGAGATGATGAATCATTAGACTGGGACAACCTGCTGGTGGATACAATTTGGAAAAAATTCCCCATTCTATTTCTTTCTTTTTTTAATTTTTTGTTTATTGCAGTAACATTGGTTTATAACATTGTATAAATTTCAGGTGTACATCATTATACTTCTATTTCTGCATAGATTACTCCATGTTCACCACCCCACTACTAATTACAACCCATCACCACACACTTGTGCTGAATTATCCCTTTCACCCTCCTCCCTCCCCCCACCCCCTCTGCTAACCACCAATCCAGTCTCTGTCTCTATGTGTTTGTTTGTTGTTGTTATTATCTACTACTTAATGAGGGAAATCATACGGTATTTGACCTTCTCCCTCTGACTTATTTCACTTTGCATAATACCCTCAATGTCCAAATGAAATCACATTTAAAAGACATTTTAAAATGTTATCCGTGGGGCCAGCCTGGTGGTGCAGTGGTTAAGTTTGCACATTCCGCTTCGGCAGCCCAGGATTTGCCAGTTCAGATCCTGGGCTCAGACCTACTCACTGCTCATCAAGCCATGCTGAGGCGGTGTCCCACATAGAAGAACTAGAAGGACCTACAACTAGGATATACAACTATGTACTGGGGGCTTTGGAGAGGAAGAAGAAAAAAAGAGGAAGATCGGTAATAGATGTTAGCTCAGGGCCAATCTTCCTCAAAAAAAAAATATTATCCTTTATTCATCTGCTAAAGCAATCATTCCTTCACAGAGTCATAAGAAAGTGTTTTAAATACCCAAATGTAAATGAAGTGAAACTTCGTGATGTAAACCTCTTTCTATGGATAAAAGTTGGGTAAACCAGAGTTTTTTGTTGTTGTTATTGTTTATTCTTTTTAAATGGTTTTATTCTGCTTTTATAGTTAATTATACAATTTTAAATTGTATGACCTTGTAAAGAAGACTTTAACATATTTTTAGAAAATAGGCACAATCTAATTTTTTAAATAAAAATTATAATGTAAAGTTAGCTTCCCGATGGTAAATTAAAATCAAATACGTTGTCTAAAGAGAGTAATTCACAATTACTCTCAATTTTTTCATAGATATATGTACAGAGAATCATAAGTATCTGCTCACGTGATTAGAATAATTCTCTTATCAAGAAAAACACTCTTCACATATCCTTCCACAAAGATACTACTGTATGATTAATGTTGAAATCCAACTAAGCTGAACAAATGGTTAACAAATTTTGCACCCTATGTTTTTTCAATTTCAAGTTTAAAATAAAATTTAAAAATTATAAAACACTATAAAAGCTGTCATAATTTGAAAGCTATCTTGACACTATATCTTTTTCAATAAATGAAATATTCTTTGACATAAGCTACACTACAAACGGCACATTTTAACTACTGATTTTTTTAAGTAAAAATGAACTGTAGGATTTGACTAGAATATTCTCATGATAGGAAAACTCAAATTATTTCATGCATAATCTGAAAAGTTCCAGACATAACTGGCAGTGATTTTAAAAATGTAAACATTTCTTTCCCTTGTGTAGTTGTGCTATTGTTTGATTAAAAATAGAGTCCACATATACAACTAAATATTATTTCATCTCTAAATCTCTATGCAGTCATAAAAAGAACAGCCAAAAACAGAAGTCAAAATTACATTCTTGATTTATCTGAAAATGCAGAAGCAGTATTAAGAAGCCATTAGCTATGACTGAAATATTTTCTAAATTATTTTTGGTTATCAATTTTATCAACATTAGTAATTTCATAGACACCTGTAGATGCTACATACAATAGTTTATGGCATATAGACCCTTCAATCAAAAGTTTTATTGTACAAATATGTTAAACTAAAATTTCCCTGATATCAAATGTCTTGCTGGCCTGCAGGAATAACTCTGTAAACCTGTATTCAGATTTTAATCTGAATTATAATCTAATCTGACACCCACCCAGAATGAATGTTAATAGATTTTTATCATCAGTTAATTTGTGCTAATATTTCTTTTTTTTTTTTTTTAATAATTTTATTTATTTATTTTTTCCCCCAAAGCCCCAGTAGATAGTTGCATGTCATAGCTGCACATCCTTCTAGTTGCTGTATGTGGGACGCGGCCTCAGCATGGCCGGAGAAGCGGTGTGTTGGTGTGCGCCCGGGATCGAACCCGGGCCGCCAGCAGCGGAGCACGAGCACTAAACCGCTAAGCCACGGGGCCGGCCCTGTGCTAATATTTCTTTTCAGTGGATTATTTATACATTTATTACTAAACCAATGTAATCAGAGAACTTGTTTAAAATGAAACTTTTCAGAAACATACAAAGGTGCACATGAATAGCTACTTTAGAGATAACTTTCTTTCAAGTGCAAAAATCAGGAATCTCTTCTATGCTTTTAAACTGTACTAACATTCAATTACTTCAAAGGTAAAGAAAACGCATATAGAAAGAAGTTTCCCAAATACTTGTGTTGCTCAAGTCAGATGATTTTTACATTTTTAAAGACCAATTAGACAAGCATTAATTAGTTTAAAAGATTCTTTTTCTTTCATTCATGTAACCAAGCAGGATCTCACTCATGTATTTTTAATTAGGAAGCCATTCACCTTAAATAACTTCTTCTCATTGAATGGTCTGTGAAATACTGCTGAGATAATTTTCAGACTTCATTATAAAATTTGTCCACTCCTGACAAATGTCCTCTATGGAGAATTCTTCACCACCATATTCCAGAGGCAGAATGTCCGGGAAATACTGAAGTAAGCTCTGTTTGTAATTGTTCCCATGCAGATGAATCTGAAATAGCCAAAATGTTTTAGAAGGTATGCCCTGTGCCCCTCAATATATAGATGCATTTCCAATGGAAAATCAACACCATAAAATAAGGTACTCTAATAACTTCTAAGATGGGAGAGCATGTACAAATACTACATCCTTTATTCCTCTGCTTATGAATCTAAAAATTTTACTTATGTTTAGATTGTGCTGCTTATGAATCTGATCATCTTATTGTTTCCTGATATTTGCGTTCTTATAACTATATAAGATTTATAAAAAGATATTCTTTCCCTCTTTCAAAAATAGAGTTTTAAAACTCTAAATAAAATTATCTTATACATTCTATTCCCTAATGTCCAAGTGATTCTTAGCAAAATATCTAATACCCTAGGACTGTTCTGTAGATCATAAAAATGTACTACCTGGTATTAGTAGTATTAAATAAAAT